AGTCGCATGCATTCTGTTAGGTTCTACAAAACACGGAAACAAGCTTGCAGACTCTGTTTCTGTCTTCACAGTTCCCCAGAAATCAGGATTCCCAGGAGGGGAACAAGTTCTTTTGTTGCTCGAAATGGAATCGTGTTTTAACTAATGAATTTCAAATTTGACTTGCTGCTGGCATGTATGGTAGCTCTCAGGGGCAAATTTAAAAGTGAGGCCCTCATACGTATGATACAAGGACCCACTGACGTAAGTAAGTAGCACAGTAATTCCTGAAGTGGAGCTCAGAATGGAATAGACACTAAATCACCAAAATCTGGGTGGGCGGCTTAATTATGTTTATGAGGCATCCCGTGTATTACCCATCATTCTGTGCCTTCTCTACTAATTCTTTCTTCCAGTCATACTTGCTGATGCATCCTTGCCCCACTGCATTCCCTACACCTCCTTGGACCCAGGCCTACGAGGTCAACTCTGGTCACTGACCCTATGTTACAGGCTGCATTGTGTCCCCTCTCAAACTCAGATGTTGCAGTCCTAAACCCAATACCTCAGAACGTGACTGTATTTAGAGACAAGGTCTTTACAGAGGTAATTAAGGTAAAATGAGGTCATATGTGTTGGCCCTAATCCAATATGAGTGGTGTCCTTATAGGAAGAGGAGATCAGGACACAGACATGCACAGAGGGCCGACCATGTGAGGACACAGGGAGAAGGCGGTCCTCTACATGCTGAGGAGAGAGGCCTCAGGAGGAATCAGCCCTGCCCACCCCTTGATCTCAGACTTCCAGCCTCCAGGGCTGTGAAGCTATAAGTTTCTACTGTTTAAGCCACCAGGTCTGTGGTACTTTGTCATACAAATGGCTTGCCCCAGGAAGCAAGAGAGCACGTGAAATAGCATTCGTGTATAAAAATTATAAACGAATAGACCAGCTTCCTTACTCAAAGTTGGAGGCCTGCTGCTGTAAGAACAGGACACTTGGTATAATTTCAGAGGCAGTGGAGGACATTCTACTGGTAACTCTGTTTTGATTTGAATATACAAATTAAACTGCAAACACCCCTGGAGGGATGAGGGTATTACTCTAATTGTTATTAGCAGCTTAACAGTATTTCACTGAAGGTCTTCTGCTGACATCTGCCTGAGATCAACCAGGCTGTAAGGAATGGGAATTTGAATGGGGTAAAGAGCCTTGGTGAGAAGGGGAAAGACAGGACTGAAGTACAGAGAAAACTGGGCAGAGTGAAACCCAGCAGGACCCTGTGGGGCCCTCCCAAGTACAAAAGCCTTTCTGTGCTTTCTATTTCTTGTTTGTAGGAAAAAGGTTTCTGCCTCCAAGACCTTCCCTGAGTTCCAAAGGGCAGATTCAAATAGTCACTAATTAGGGGAGTGAGGAAATGCAGGAGGAAACAGGGGCAGGATGTGGGAGGGTCCCAGTTCCTCCTGAGGGATGGGCACAGATATCTGATACATATCCCTGAGCTCTTCTGCAGGAACTAAGGCCCCCATCCCGGTGGAGGATGGTGACTTCAGGTTGAGCACAGATTCCTGGAGCACCGCCCTGTGACTTCACCACCAACCAATCAGAGGAGGGTTACGCACCCTGAATCCCGCCCCCCAGGTTTTGCCTATAAAACCTTCTTCCCTGAAACCCACTGGGTCTTTGGAGCATGAGTCAGCCATTCTCCTCGCGTGGCCCTGTGATAAATAAACCTTTCTCGGCTCCGAACTCTGACATTTCGGTTTGTTTGGCCTCACTGTGCACCGGGCACAGGGACTGCAGACACATACCCAGGACAGAGGAGCACGAGAGGGCAGGGAAGAGACATGCTCTGTCCGGAACATGTGCGCAATAGCATCACAGGCACAAGGATCCGGGGTTCCACCTTCTCAGGCACCCACCACGAGCTCCCAGCCTCCCTCAGTAACCGACTCTCTCTCGGAAAGCAGAGGACAGAAAGCGCCTGTGTGCCTCCCAAGGAAAGAGGCCCAGAACCAGCCTGCCTTTCACCTCCCCTGACCTGGCCATGATCGGGAGCGCTCCAGACATGACCCTATGGCACCACAACCTCCACTGAATTACATTTTTTTCAGAGAAGCGCAAAGCGCTTCAGATGTAAAATGCGTTCCTTTCCTGTCTTCCGTGTACTGTGTGCTGTGCAAACTGCAGGCCTTCATGGGTCTCCTGGAAGCCCGGAGGACCCAGAGCAGCTACAAGAGCAGCTGTGCCCCACAAATCCCTGGACTCACAGCTGACCCTATACCCCTCTATGTTTATCCTTCCAACACTCCCAGAAAGCACCGCACCCTCTTTTGTTCATGGAATGAAACTTGCACAAAGCCACACTAAGTTAGGGAAATGCCTTACGAGCGTTCCTGATACTAACAGAATGAACAAGCATGATATATACAACGCAATCGTTATGCAGTTGTACCTATCATAGGAGCAGGAATATAATGAAAATTTTATAGCAGCTGTGCACAGTGTCATCCTAGCATCTGGTAATGACTGGATGAAAGTTAAGAACAAAGGATCACTTGAAGATGAAAGATGCGCTTAATACTTTAAAAATAGCTTTATTGGTATTTTAATTCTTACTGAGATTATAATCTTTCCAATCTCCCTTTAGTTGCTATCATCTCCCATCTCAGAGTGGGAAACACATTCTACTTATGCACCAATTTTTGAAAACAGGAATACAATACAAGGCATTTACGTATATACACTACCAAGTGTAAAACTGATAGCTTGTGGGAAGCAGCCGCATAGCACAGGGAGATCAGCTCTGTGCTTTGTGACCACCTAGAGGGGTGGGATAGGGAGGGTGGGAGGGAGGGAGACGCAAGAGGGAAGAGATATGGGGATATATGTATATGTATAGCTGATTCACTTTGTTATAAAGCAGAAACTAACACACCACGGTAAAGCAATTATACTCCAATAAAGATGTTAAAAAAACAAAACAAACAAACAAACAAAAAAACGACCTCCCACCCCCATACACACAGGCAGCTTCATGGCATCCAGCACTTAGCAATGAATAACAGAACAGAAGTTTGAATTCTTCCTTCTACCTGTGATGGCTGCTCTGGGATGCGTTTGGGCTTTTGAGATCAAAATGCTAGTAATTCCTCATCCTACCTCATGGACACCTATAAGAAACGACTATGGAACTACACACAGTGCAAACAATAAATGGTATTAATTAAAAACTAATCCCTCGTCTTTGATCTTGTAACACTTAGATTTTCCTATGAATCTAAAACTCCAGAGAATCGTTTGGCTACAGCCCCATCCCAGGCCAACACGGAAGGCCCCTCCTCTGGGCTCCACCAGCTCCCATGGCCAGCATTACTTATGCACTTCCGGGCTGCACCCCAGAACATCTGGGGAGGCATCTGCCCGGCTCCCCAGTCCTCCAGGAGCATTCTGAGGGCAGGGTTCCAGGCTTACTTCTGTAGTATGGCCAGGGCCTGGTTCCTAGCAGGTTCTCATCAAGGTTGTCTGTCTCTCCAAAGGGCTGAAGCCAAGAACTGTCTTAAACAGGTTTGCCTGGAGATAAACCCTGGGTGTCAGGTTGTTAGAACTCCAAGGAGCCTTAAGGAATTTCGGGCCCTTACCTTAGAGATGAGGAAAAAGAAAGCCAGAGGGGAGATGTGCTTTGTTCCCATCATGCAGCCCATTAGTGGCAAAACCAGAATGCAAACTCATCTTTTCTAACCAAATCCCAGCATCTCCACACTTTGTACATTACCTATAGATCTGTCCTTCTCGGCTTTATATTAATATTTCTACAACACTCAGGAATTCATTCCTAAAACTCACTACACGCTGTCACATCCTGGGCACATTCTCAACTTGCAGATCTCAGAGGCTATGGTCTGGGCACCCTGAAGGATTCCTTCGCACCTGCCTCCTTGTTCAGCTTTGGGGGCTGGAGGTGCCAGGATGCCCTCTGCTGCCCGGGAAACCTCCGGCATGCCAAGTCAACTGGCCAAGTCCAGTTGGACTGAGCCGACCACGGGGGACTGGAATGACTGAGCAGCCATGCAGTTGTCTCCCAGGCTCGGTACTGAAGAAGCAGGGCTTTCGGGGGGAGTTCACCCCGCCGGCCAGCACAAGCACTGGATGGCATCTCCATCCACGCCAGTGCCCCTGTGGGGCTGGGCTTTTGGTTCAAATAAGAGTGTAGGGGGTAAAAGCGTGCTTGACACATGAATCTGCTTCTTAACAGCTGTGTTGCCTTCGACACCTTTTAGAAATATTCTGTGTCTCAGTTTCCTCTTCTTTATCAGCTGGAGATAGTAGATAGTAATCTACTTTATTGCATGGTTTGAGGTTTAACTAAGTTAATACAGGTGAGAAATGCAGCCTGGAGCCTAACATACACTAGGCATTCAGGAAATAGCGCTACTAATATTATTACCAGTACTCACCTAAAATAAAACCATTTTTAACTGTAACCTGGACTTGTTGTTTTTGCTGTCGACTTTGTTTTGGCATCCATTGAGCAAGCATTTTTTTCTTTTAATTTCTAGAACATCTGCCTGATACCCAGCACATAATCTAGGGAAACGGCTTATTTATATGTACAGTCTCCCTTAATGAGCTATTAGCTCAAGAACACATCCCAAACAGCAGGGTAAATTACCCTGTGTTTGAAAACAGGGCGAGCATTTCGGCAGCAACACTTTTAACTCAGGAGCAGCCAATTAAGGTTAAAAGTACAGCCAGTGATTTTGCTCGGTCTGTTCGCCTTAGGGCCACGGGCTTCACTCTAAGGAAACCCTTTTATCGTGAAGACCGAGCGAATGCACGTGGACTGGGCACACGGCTTTCAAAAATTACCTCAGCACTGAAAAAGAGGGGTCGTGCTGAGGGGACGCGGGCACAGCGCCGCCCACCTCTGAGAACCACAGAGCGCCTCTTCTCCAAAGTGGGGACTCAGAGCCGGTTCACCCTCTCCTGGGACGGGCAAAGTCGCCCGGGCGCTCGCCTCTTACCACGAATTCCTCCAGGGTCTGGTAGGTCTTGCCCCGGAACTCGCAGTAATTCTTCCTCTCCTTGCACTGCGGACAGCACTGGCTCGTGTCGACATGGATGCAGCGTGGGTGCAGCCGCGGGCACTCGGGCTGCGCGCACAGCGGCCCCTCCTCGGTGCACAGGCATGGGCAGGCCGAGGGGCCCGGCGCGAACTTCTCCCCGATCGCGTACACGAAGCCGCTCTCGTCCACGCAGCCCTTCCCCCGGTAGTCCGGGTACGCGTACTCCTCCGGCAGCTCGGGCGTGGGCTCTGGGTCTGGGCCCGCCGCGTCCTGGGCGGCGGCGGCCGGGGGCTCTTCGTGCGGGGTGTCCCCGCGGGGCCGCCCCTGCAGGTCCCCGGCCCCGGCGCCCCCGCCCTGGGCGGCCCAGGACTGTTTCTGCCTGCTCCACGCCTCCCGGCCGGCCAGCCCGCGGCCGCCCTTGCCCTTCCAGTCCCGGCCGCCGCCGCCCTCGTCCCTCGCCGGGCGCCCGAGCTCGCTCACCCGGCCCGGGCCGTCCCGAGACGCGTGCTCGCGCTTCTCCTGGCCCGGCCGCTCGGGCGCCTGGGCCAGCTTCTCCAGCGGGATGCTCGGGCTGCACAGAGCCACCATCAGGCAGCAGGTGAGCAGGAGGGAACTGGACAGCGCGCCAACTGCCATCGCAGTGGAGCTGGGCAACCCCTACCGCGTCCCGGCGGCCGGGCGGGCGGGGAGCGAGGTCGAGGGGCGAGTCGCATTCACAGCCCGGGGGCGCGCCGCCGCCAGTCTGGAGCCGCCGTCCCTGCGGAGAGAAAGCAGCACAGCTGAGCCCCGAGGCCCGCGCGCGCCCGGCCCGGCGGCTCCCGAAATGGACGCGCCGGACCCCGAGGGCAGGGGCGGCATGCCCGGCGCCGGGGCACGGCCCGGGGTCCTACACATCCCAGACTGTGGACACGGACACGGAAGCGAGTCCCAGAAAAACACCGGCCCGCAGTGTTCCCCGTGTCTTCTTGATTAGCGGGTGGCGGAGCAGCGGGGATGCAGCTAGCGGGGCCCGCGCCCCCTGCAAGGCTCGGATGGAGCCACAGAACTCCGGAGCCCGGCGCCCTCTCCGGGTCCCGGCCACACTTCCCTAAAGGCGACTCAGTGGAGAATTCCGCACTGGAGCGGGCGCTGATGGCCCTGCAGGAAAATAAGAGGGAAACCCTTCCTCGCTTGCCCGAGGGTGTTTGGGGAAGAAGGGCGCGAGGGGGTAAGAAAGCTCCCAGGACCCGGTGACTCATCCTAACAACTTTGCAAACGCCACCAGTGCGGGGCGCAGACGCCCCTTCCCCGCCCTCCGCCCGAGGCCCGGTTGCCCAGAAAAAGGTCCGTGACTGTCCCCCAGCCCAACCCCCGTTCCCGGTTGCGGGTCGGGGCTTTGGGAGGCTGTGGCTTCTCCAACAGCACCCCAGCAGCCGCTCAGCGACTCGGGGTGCAGACCAGAGACCCCTGCGTGGGCCGCAACGCGCAGTCGCCTAATTTCTTTGACCCGGGAGGGGTCGTGGCGGTGGAGCAGGGGGACCCGGCAGCACTAGGGTGTGCGGTGGAGGAGGCCGGGGATGGCGGGCGGGGCGAGCCCCCTTCACTCTGCCTGTCTCCGAAAGCCTCTCTGGTTCCCAAACTTTATGCCGATGGAACCCTAGACGCCGCAGGATGCTGGCCACCCAGCCTCTCTCCACCAAGCCCTCCAACTCCCCTCGCCCCCCCGTTCAGAGCGCCTCCGGGTGGCTTCCTCCCCCTCATCCCCACCCCCCTCAAGCAGGCTCGGGTCGTCCGTGCTCTCTGCCCACCCCCATCCCCGGCCCGGCGGACTTCAGCCCGGGCGATCACCCATATGTACAAACTTGGGCTTGGGTTAGGGGGGCTGCTCCCGAGCAGCAGGGAGGCGGAAGGGCGCCCCGGGCGCGGACACCCAACATGGACCCTCACCCCCCGGGGGCGGGCGCCCAGCCTACGTACATGAGCACAGGGCGCCGGCCGGACGCGGGGCTCGCGGCGGGCGCTGGGGCAGCAGCGGCGGGCGCGGCCCCGGGGCGCCGGCGCCCATCCTCCGGCCGGCGGGGGCCCGGCGCGGGGCGCACCGCGGAGAGCGCAGCCCCACCTGCGCGCTTCGCCCGGCGCGTGCACCCGGCTAGGGCGTCTCCGCTGGCAGGCTCATCGCACCGCCGGCGGCCGGGAGCCGTGGCCCCAACTCGCGTCAGTGCCCGGGCCGCCCTCCGCCGCTCATCCTCAGGTCTGGTCCCCGCGTCTCCGCGACAAATCGTGCCCCGGGGCCGCCCCGGCTCGGCCTCGCTCCTCTCCTCCGGCAGGCGCGGGGAGCTCCCCGTACCAGGCAGCCGGAGGCTGGGGTATCCGCGGCGCGTCGGAGGCAGAAGGGACGCCCGGAGCGCGGCGGGCGAGTGGCGCCGAGGCCGGAGTGGGAGCCCGCGCGCCCGCCTCCCGCCTCCCGCCCCGCGCGCTCCCCGCCCCTCCTCTGCGGCCCGGGTTCGGGAGGCGTCGCCGCGGCGGCCGGCGCTGCCCAGGGGTTGGAGGGCCTCCCGCCCACCCGCCCCCTTCCAGGCCCGAGACCCACCTGTCAGCTTGCAGCGCAGCCGCTTCCCCACCTCCGCCGCCGGCTGCCATCCTCCGGCCTTGTCACTCACTCTCCACTGGACCTTTCATCTGGGCTTTTTCCTTTCCTTTATCCTCCCTTTAATTTCTTCCTTCCTAATTGGCCCCCTCTGGCTTTCCTCCCCGTGGACGGCTTGGTCTTAAGACTGTTGAAAAACCAGAACCAAAGTGTGTTCAATTTGGAATTCGAAGGCCGTGTTAGCTTAGCAGCCTGTGGGAGGGTTTTTTTTCCTCTTTGCATTCCGAAACCCGGAGGTATAGGCGCGTAAGACTCAGAAACTCATAAAAACCCGTTCAGCGTGCTTTCCGGCTCTCTGCCCATCTCTCCCCGGTCGATGCCTATGTCCCCCCTTTCCTGCCCACACTCTCCTGTCACCGAAGAGAAACATTTCGGGTTAACTTCGCTGGGATGCTAAGCTGTCAAGCAGAGGCCTGTGTGGTTCAGACTTGGTCTTACGCTTTGATCTTGCGCTATGGACATGCTACTTTTCTTGGATAAAGGAGGAAAGGAAACTTCACATTAACCCCTAAAATGGGATTTTTATTATAGAGATGTGCATTCCCAAGGCAATGGTTCCTACCCTGTCATCTTAGAATCACTGAAAATGCTCAGATGTATAAACACACAACCTTTCCCCTACAAGGTCAGGCCCTGGGCTGGGGTGGGAGCTTTGAGACCAATTCCTCTTCTCTCCCACCTCTTGATAGTGGACAGACCAGATTTAAATGAACTGCAGAAAGGCCTTCTCCCAGCCACAGGAAGACTGGGCGAGAAGAAGCTTCTCCTTATCTACCAAAACAAAAACAAAAAACCAAAAAAATGAAAAAAAGGTTTGGGTGGAGGGTTTCAATGTCCAGAAAGATTTAAGCACTTCTGCCTTTGCAGTCCCTACCCCCCTTTTCTTGCTGTCACCTCGAGGCAAGAGACGGTTGCACTTGCCTGTGGGACAGAGCAACCTGGCCCCCCCAGTCATTACATATCATGTTTGTTTTTGTTTTGACAAGAAGGACTCTCAGAAGGTTACACTGACATAGCCCCAAGTAGATGTGACAAATCAGAATAAAACGCTAATAGTATGTACAGAAGATTCTACTTCTGGCTGACAAGTTGGTTGGGGGTCCGATGGAGGGAATCATGAAGTCTCTTCCGATCCCACCTCAATCACGGGGCCCTTGAATCAGAAAACCTTTGTGCCAGCGCGCGTGGGCGCAGTGGAGAGCCCTGAGGATGAGACCGTAGGGCCCCCCGGGAAGGGGCCTGACGGAATGAGGGGCTAATCATGTTGCCCAGTGTCCCAACCTCTTCATTTGGGCAGCGACTCTAAGAGGCAGTGTGGTAGGTCAGACGAGATGAGGGGAGAAGTAATTTTAGAAGGATTTCTGTCCTTAGTGGCAAACAACGCTCAAGCCGCCTTGATTAGTTGAGATTCAAGGAAGTATCAGGGACTTTGCAGGTATCGAGGGAATCTGATCCACTCCCCCACCCCCCAATCCCTCGCTCCCTCTCTCTCTCTCTTTCTTCTTTCCTTCCTTCTTTCTTTCCTTCCTTCCTTTCTTCCTTTCTTTTATCTACATTCTTCTCAGGCTGCAGAGTAAGAGGTGGCATCAGAAAGATCTCTGGTCATGGAGTAAGATATGGGTCTCACTGGGCTCCACTAGGGGCCAGTTTTGTGATCTCGGACAAGTCAACTGCTGTCTCAGGGTCCCCATTTTCTCATCTTTAAAAGGAAGAAGAAAAAAACCTCTGAGTGGGTAGGAACCCCAAAGTGCTCTGGGACTATGGCATGTTTCTGCCCCTGGCCCTGTTTTAATCTGCTTTATTAGTCTTAAACGAACCAGCAGAAGCCCTGAGTCTGCAAGCCTGTGCTCAGCCCCAGGCCCAGCAGGCAGGGCAGGTGGGTTCCAGGCCAAGTTCAGAGTTGCCTCCTCATCACCTTTTCGGTGCCCTGAGGCATAACTCATTTACCCTCCTCTTCACCAAGGCTTGTTTCTGTCTCTGTTTCAGGTCTTGTAGCCTCGGACCGTGTCTTAGCTCCATGGAGTCTGCACCCACCTCTGAAACAGTGGCTTATTAAACGAGGGGCTGGAGCTGTGCTTGATTCATCTTCCTGTGCTTACAGCCCAGGAGGCAAATGAGGAGGGAGGGAGAGAAGAAAAAGGGAAGGAAGGGAGGATGGGATGGGGGAGGGAGGGAAAACTGGGAGAACAGTGCTTATGCCTCACACAGTCCTGGGCCCATTCATAGCATCTCACTTATTTCACACAGCACACCTGGTCTTGGGGACACCATTGTTGTTTGCCATTTTGCCAGTGGGGAACCACACCTCAAGGAAGTTGTGAGTTGGCTGAGGTCCCAGCTCACAGGGCAGGAGCCAGGTGACCCTGGAACCTCACTCTAACTCCAGGGCTTCTGGTCCAGTGCCACAGCTCCCTGCCTCGGTGGCGCTCTGTCCCTGACTTACTGTACGTGACATGAGGTTCTCCCAGCTTCCCAATCCAGCTGATTCTACGTGACTTCACATTCCGGGCCCTGCTCTCCTGAGAGCACAGAGAGGCAGAGGGGATGGGAATGACCAGAGCTGTCAGTTCCGGGGACATCCTTGTGGTCACATGTTTAGACCAGACCAACCTACTCTGGGGCTCAGTCTTTGTCCGCCAAGGAATCGGGGACAGAGTGATACCTGCAATACTCAGGGAAGGTAACTCCTTGGAGGAAAAAGTCAGACCAGGTGCCCTGGGAAGGGAGGCACATCAGAGGATAAAGTGGGAGGAGATGTCAGGAAACTTGGGTCTGCCCCCTGCCCCCAGGGGGATGAGACAGGGTTGTCTGTGGGAATCGAAGGGGCAGAGGTGGTGTTTGTGGCTTGAGAGTAGAAAAGAGACTGTGGGATAAAATATGGGATGAGGTTAGGAGGGTGAAATAAAAAACAACAGCTGCGTAACCGAGGGCCTGGTGGAGGCTGGAAAGCAGATGCTAGGGGCCAAGTGCCCTGTGCGTTTTCTCCACGAGTGAAGAGCTGCTTGTTGCTGCAGGAAGAACTTCTCCAGGGCTGGCCGTGGACGGGGAGGGTGCTGCCAGCGCTGCCAGCCTTACAGGGAGGGGATGCAGAGTGGCTTCTGTGGGAAGGAGAGCCTTCTGGAAACTCCTGTTCCAGGTAAAGACGGGGCAGAAAGTGCCAAGCCTCCAGCCTCTCACGAAATCCTGCTGTTCCCTGATTGCCCGGGCCAAATGCCTAAGGGTTGCTTTTATTTAGTTCACACCTTTGCAAAGGCGCATTTACCTTGAATTCTGGACTTGGGCCAGAGAAAAGGAAAAGCTGTAAAGTCTTCATCTTTCCGGGTTAGAGGGAATAAAAGCCACTCGCACCTGAAATCAGGGTCAGCAGGATTTTTGTGGTGGGGCAGAAGGCGGACCACTAACTCAACGTGATGAGTGAGAGAAGCCACCTGGGGCGCTCAGGTGGCCTTTTGTGATGTGCACAGAGCAAGCTGGCGACTAAAGCTCAGCTCTGGATCGGGCTACTGGTCAGCAGAGGCAACAGCTCCATCCCGATCAGCCTTTGATCCACGGCTGGGGTGGAGAGTTACTGCTCCCGTGCTGGCTCTCTGCACGGGCTGCCTGATTATACCGCACCTCGGGGACTCATCCCTCCTGCTGTTCTGCCCAAAGTCAGCAGCATCTGTTCAGATAATCGAAAGGATGACTCACAGATAAGTCTTCCAAAATCAGTGGCAAAAGCATGTTTCTTGAAAGGAGGTGGCCGGGGATCCATTTCGAATATACTATAACAGCCTGCACTGCATTAACCTCCCAGACCCCCAGACCACATACACGTGGACCAATACAGAAGTTTCCAAAACAGTCCTAATGGAACCCGGGCCCCTCAGCATGGATTGGCCTAAGGAGGATAGCACAAGACTGGGGGCTTCTGCTGGCACATGCCATGCCCTCGGAGGCAAGGTTCTGTGTGCATCGAGCGAGGCAGAAAAGCCTTGGGTGACACCATTTAGGTTGTTTTCCTCCTCCTTTTGGACAGCTCCAAAGGAGGCAGCCTGGCAGGTGCTGGGTGACATGCTGACCCCGGGCAGGGTTTTCCTTGGTTGATAAAGGGAGCCTGGGGTCCACTCTGGAGCACTTCTGAGAGGGGGTGTGTTTTCTAAGGACCGCATCTCTGGCTCCTGGTCTAACCAGGAGTCATGGACCAGACTGGGCAGTGGCACAACCAGAGACCTAGCTTTGTTTGTACTCTGCTCCCAGGTCCCCCAAAGTGGGCTGTGGCACCACCCAGCAGAAGGCCAAGTACGGGGCAGAGCATATTTCCAGGAGGACCCACAGCACACGTGGGTGGCACACATGTCTGCTGGAGAGTCAGGCAATGTATCTTCCTGGGATGGCTTCTCCCCCAGGCCCCAAACTGACTGGCCTCTTGACCCTTCCATGGTATGCCGAGGGCACTTTGAAGTTCTCTGGGGGCTCTCAAGGCTCTCCAGATGTCACCAGCTCCTGGAGCAACGCCAGCACCAGAGGAAGGGGAATCTGGCCCGGGACACTGCTTGGGCTCAGGCCCTGGGCTTCCAACATTAAGCATGTGTCTCACAACGATCATAAGAAGTGCTTCCTTGCCGCAAACTACTTCTGCATCGACCCCAGACGTGGGCCCATCCAGACATCCAGAGCTTAGGGGGACGGTGTCTGCGTCATAAATCTGAGATACAGCTGGAAGGAAATGGTCAGTGGTTTGCACATAAACCAGGAGGAATCAAGGACAAAGGGAGAGTGTGGGAAGCGTGTGATGGACAGGATGTCAGTCAATGTCATTCATCACATATCTCAGGTTAACCATTCCTCCCGTTCCTGTTGCACACAGAGCCTTCCGTGGAGTCCATGTCTATGGTCCTCCCTGGGTGGGGGTGGTGATTTGGACCTGCAAAGCAGAACAAGGCTGACACCATCAAACTGCCCACACAGCCAACAGCCTTTTATTTTCAAATCCACACTACTGAGCGTCTGTAAGACAGTGT